AAGTTGCAATACGTCAAATAATTCAGTTACATTTTTTTCTTATCACAGCTAAATATGTTTACTGAGAAAACATGTATTCACTGCTTTCTTATGATTTTTCTTATCAAGGAAAAAACGCCATATTGAAACCATCCATTTCCATTTCCATTAGTAATAATGTTTTTGTGAATAACTGTGATGTTTTCCTGTGGCAGGTGATGATGACATCATACAGGCAGAGGTGATGTGTAAACATGCGCAGATGGAAGTTTCCATCTCCAAATGCAAACTCTTCCAGCTGGGCTTCGAACGAGAGGACGTCCGGGTCAACGATGAGCACTGCGCCGGCATCGAGGGGGAGGACTTCATCTCGTTCCGCATCAACAACACGAAGGGACACTGCGGCTCCATCGTACAGGTCAGTGAACTGACACCAGGTCAGGCCCCTGATTTTCAAGTTCGAGTTTTGTTGAACACCTTCATGCTCTGTATCATGTGATGTATCAACACTACGTGTAATACTCAAGCGTCTCTGCTTCTTTGTTTTGTGAAGGCGATTGTTGTAATTACAACTTTATCCCTCCAACAGTCGAACGCCACACACATAATGTACAAAAACACAGTCTGGATAGAGAGTGTGAATAACACCGGGAACGTCATCACCAGAGACAAAACCATCAACGTGGAGTTTTCATGCGCCTACGAGCTAGACCTGAAGATCTCCCTGGAGACTGTCCTCAAACCCATGCTCAGGTCAGACAGAGGACATTAAGACACAGAGAGAATAAAACAATAAACAATGGTACTCATCTTCTCTATTTCCCCTCCATGCTCTAGTGTGATTAACCTCACCTTACCAACCCAGGAGGGAAACTTCATCACAAAGATGGCTCTGTATAAGAACGGCTCGTACCGCCAGCCGTACAGGGAGGGGGAGGTGGTGCTCAGCACGCGAGACGTCCTCTTCGTGGGCGTCTTCGTGGAGGGGGCAGATGAGAATCAGCTCATCCTCATCGTGAACATGTGCTGGGCCACGCCGTCACGCTACAGCAGTGACCAACTCCGCTACATCATCATAGAGAGGGGGTAGGAGGAGGAACTCCAGCACAGACACACAGACACAAAGTGGGGCTGAGGTGTGTGTTATATGTGTTTCTTTAACATCTGGCTGTCACTAGGTGTCCAAATATTAAGGACAACACCATCGGCATGGCAGAGAACGGCGTGTCACTCACCTGTCGCTTCCACGTCACCGTCTTCAAGTTCATCGGGGATTACGACGAGGTCCACCTCCACTGCGACGTCTCGCTCTGTGACTCGGACACAAACGCCTGCAAAGTGGTGAGAAACTCGCGACAGATCATGAGTGAAAGTGGGAATGAGAAGACGTACTGCTGTGTTAACGTAACATCTACTGTCTGTCCAGAACTGTCCACACAAGAGAAGAATGTACTCAGAGGACCAAAACCATAAAGAGCACATACTGACTGTGGGACCCATTAGAAGGAGAGGTGAGTGTCGTCTCACTTTGAGTCCAGGACTCAATGTTTTCCAGCTCTTTTCAAAGCTACCGAGATGAATTCCTCAGGTTTTTTAGGACGTTCACGACTCTCACGTGCCGTCCTCTCAGAATCCGACTGGTGCGAGCACAACAACGGAGGCTGTGAGCAGATCTGCAGCAGTAAAGGAAACGGACCAGTGTGCAGCTGTGTGACTGGGATGCTGCAACGAGACGGGAAAAGCTGCCAGAGTAAGTAACAGACACACAAACTCTCACACACAACAATTTACTGTGAAACCTAAATGTTTTGAATCGGCGTAAACTCTTCAAATTAGTAGTGATGAAAATAATATTGTAAAAAGAATATTG